AGTAAATCTGGGCTTGACAAATATGTACAGATGTTTGTTCATTTATTATTTTGTGCACTAAAGTAAGAGGTTTGGAATATTTTCAAACTTGTTAGTTAACTTTAATTCTTCTAATGCTGTTTTTTATCAATGCATATTTTAATGCAAAAAATTTCCTTTTACAATTTTTTTCACTGTTATTAAGTCATTCAAGAAATACAAGTACTGAAAAGCCTCCTTTTAAAAATATGCAAAAACACACTATTAATTATCAAGTGTCAAGAATTAATTTAAATGTGGGCCATAATTTGGATCTTTTTGGCATAATTTCTAAAGATAGAAGAATGGACAACACTGTAAAATAATACCCCAATTACAAATTATAGTAATCCTTCAAGTTAATTCCCAGAAATAACTTTTAGGTGAAAGCTTCTAAAACCCAAATTACTTTGGATTACAGTACATATTGTAGTATCTATTATTAGCAATTAGCATTGCTAGTAGTATAATATAAGTGGCAATATCAGAGGTGTTGGAAGGATTCAAAGCTTTGAAAATGATGAAGGCAGCATCATGCTGAAGCTCCAACCCTTTTGTATCATGGTATCATAAAATAGATTGAACTTACTAATAGTTTTTGTCATGTGCCCTTTGGCAGATTACTTTTATAGATTAATAGAATGGTTATACCATAATGCCATCCTCACTCCTTCAAGGACATCTAATCTACCATGATCCTCATAGAAAATAGCCAATTGAGATCAGCCAGGGCAGTCTTTTAGGATAAAGGAATGATCATGATAGTAAGTAGACTTTAGGGATGGAGATTTTTGAAGTCAACTCATGAGTTGAGTGTCTGAGAGGAGCAGGAATTCAACCAAACTTACAGCCTATTATAGGGACACAAAGTTAAACTAAACCTCATTCCTTAACCACTTTTTGATGTAATTAATTAATAGATGAATCACTTGATAATAAATTGAGGGCTTTAAAAAATATTTGTAAAGATGGAAGTGGAGATGAAAGAGGCAGTTAAGATGAAAAGCTCAGAAAACAAGTAGAGGTAAAACAAGTTAATGACAAAGTAAACTTTTTCAAGAATATGATGTCAGGATTTCGGCAGTTACTCCAATTAAATCATGAGCCTCGAGCCACACTCCCAAAACTTCAAAGGATTTATTAGAAGTTAACATGCTGGCATTAGCCTGGGCGTAGCCGACTCTGAGATATGTAATTCACTATCACCCTTGATCCTGCTTCCCCCCCCACCCCTCTGGGTGTATTATCCAACTAAACACGTCCATAGCCAAGAGTCGTCAATCATGCTCTCCAATTAGATTTTTGCTTGGCAGAAGCTTCAGTCATCTAATCAGTCTCTGAAGAAAATATGAATGGAATGTACTTTCGATTCCACACTGCTGCCTGCTCTTTGAAACTCCCCCTCCCCCATTCTTTCTGTTGACAACTATAAAACGTGTATACAAAATGTTTTATGAGTTGACATATGACCGGTTTATAGACAGAGAGTGGAAAAAAGAACTAGATAATCTAGTTCTATTGGAATTGAGAGAAAAGGAATTTGTTTGAGACTTAGAGTACTCCCAAAGGATTCTGATGAAAACATTAGAGAAAAGTTTATTAAAGCCTTGAAAAATTTTGGGATTGGAAAAAGGAGGATACAGAAAATTGATAAAGTATTTAGAATAAATTCTAAATTTGTGAGAACACAAAAAGTTCAAAGGGGTGCTTTGATTACTTTATCAAGAAGACAAGAGATCAAGTTTTACAACAGATAATTCTTCTTAAATAAATTCTTATTAAAGTTTTGCATAAAAGAAGAGTTTTGATTTTTTTTTTTTGACTAAGACTTTAAAGCAGAAGATTTCATTCCACGGGACAAATTGTAACGTGTAATCTTTACTTTTAAACAGCAGAGGTCTTGACTAAATTTCATTCAGGCAGCCAGGCAATTTCTAGAAATTTTTTGGATGAGATCCAAATAGATGTATTAGTGGAGGTCAAGGCTGTCCAACTCACGGCCCACAGGTCGGATGTGTTGCACTGGCCACACTCATGTCTGGTTTAGTAAAGGGGAAAAAAGTCAAGATACGTCATGCGATGACATCGTGACAACGCAAGTTTGCTGTCAAACTTGTGGCCTGAGGGCTAGATGCTTTATGCGTTGGCCACGCCCATACTTGGTTTAGCAAAGGGGCAAAAGTCACAAAACGTAACATGACAATGCTGTGACGAAGCGACTTTTACACCCCTTCTATAGGTAGTACTTGACTTAAAACAGTTCATTTATGATGTATGAAAATGAAAAAAGTGACAGGACCATTTTTCAGACGATAGTTTCAGCATCCCCACAGTGATGTGTGCAAAATTCAGATGCTTGACAACTGACTCCCACTTAAGATGGTTTCAGTGTCTAGGGATCAGGTGATCTTTTGCAACGTTCCAACAATCAAAGTCAATAGGGTACCCAGATTTACTTAATAACCTTGTTACTAACTTAACAATTATTGCGATTTACTTAAAAGGTTGTAAGGTGGGGCAAAATACACTTAAGCAGTGTCTCATTTATCAACAGTAATTTTGAGCTCAATTGTGGTTATAAGTCAAGGACTACCTGTACAGAAAAAGTCCAATAGGTATAACAAGAACCTGAAAGGGATGATACTGAACTAAGTGCTACAGTATCAATTTTTAAAAATATGTTTTGCTTGATAATGGATTATAAATACTTAAACGTTAAAGAATCTTGGAAAGGGTTCGCCCTAATGCACCAAGCAGTTGAAAGAGGTAGCAGGAAGTTTTATATTTTCAGACTTGCAAAATTCATGTCAGCCCTCCTAGGTATATCAAACAGGAAATATTATTGGATGAGCTAAATCTACTTTACTATAAGACTATCCTAACAGAATCTAGTCACCTAGGTAAGATGGACAGTGTAGAAATTTGACAAATAAAATAAATGGTAAATTTGTTGCAGTGGATGAAAATTAATTTGCACAGGACTATTACACTGATACTGGAAATTTATGCCCCAAATGAAGAAAATATATTTTTTATAAAGGAGAGGAATTTTTTGTATTAATGATTGACTGGGGGACTGGAATGGAGTGATCGCTCCACAACTGGACAGAATGTCTGAGAAAAACATTAAAATCACTCAAGACAAATTACCAAAAGTTTTGTTTGATCTGATGGATAATTTAGGACTCACTGATACAGGGAGACAGAAAAATGGTAATTCAACAATGTATACTTGCTTTCCTGAAAAACACAGATTTTTTTTTCAAGAATAGGCATGATTTGGATTTCAAAGAATTTGGCCACTAAGATTTCCAAAGTAGAAATATTACCAATATTTTGAGTCATAATCCATGAGTTTAATGTATAAAAGAAAATCTAATTCTTTTAGATGGAGACTAAATACAATGTTATTACATCAAGAAGCAATAGTGGAGGATTATAAAAGAAATTGAAAAAATTTTTGAAAATAATTTAGGCAAAGGTACTGATTTAAGAATGGTCTGGGATGCAAGTAAATATTTTATTAAAAGTTATTTTACACAATATAATAATGAACTGCAAGCTATCCTGGATGAAATAAAAAGAACTAAAATAATCTCCAGAGAACATAAACATATCTCAATAAATTAAGATTCTACAACAGCTATTATATTTACTAAGAGAAATGGAAATAAAAATAAATTATAAAAAGTTAAAAAATGAATTTGCAAATAAACCAGGGAAATGGCTAGCATATAAAATACAAAAAGTAAAGAAAAATGGTATTGAAATTATAAGAGAGATACTTTATTAATAGATGGTATGCCAATACAAACGGAAAGCATTCCATCAATATTCCAATTTTTACAAGGAAATGCCATTTCATCAGAGAAAATAGATAAATACCTTAAGTAACAAAATTTACAGAGGATTACTGAGGAACAAGGATAGAGTATGAAGGGACTTACAACAAAAGGGAAGCTTCTGAAGCAATAAAAAGAAATTAAGCTTAATTAAGAAAGGTACCTGGACCAGATGGATTATGAGGTTGTTTTAAAAATGTTTTGAGGATGAATTTTACAACCTTTCAAAACAAGATGAATTCTATCTTCTAGGGAGGAAAGATGCCAAAGAGATGAATACAGAGTACGCTGCAGTTATTTCAATAGAGAAAAGGAGATCAAACTCCGAATCATGTAATACAGTAAATCTTATCTTAGAAATATTGTAAAATACTGTATAATTATATTTATCCTGCTCAGCCTCTGCGCCCCATTTGAAACTAAGTAAAAGCTTGTAGGGTAATTATAGAATGTAATCATAACATTTTATATAACAATCAGCTGCAATTCTTTTACTGTAAATTGCATTTATTTATCTTGCACAATTATTTTCCAATGTGAAAAGTCTTCAGGTGAACTCATCTCAGTAAAATAGTTCAATACCACACACACAGACAACCAATTGGGATTAACAAATGCCCCTCATAAATTGTTTCTTGAAATAATCTGCATTGTTTAGCTTCAAACTTTGCCTTGAAAATACATACTAAATGCTTATTTCAAACTTCCTTTAAAAACAAGGATTTCTAAATTCTTATTGCAGCTTAATCTTCAGGAGTTTGGGGAAAATCTTATCTTTACTTCATTGGTTCTTGCTTTTCACTTACAACATCTGCATACTTATGGAAAATGTCTCTTCCTTGACCAGGCAAATTCTTTTTAGATGAATAAAGCACATTAGGGAATAGCTCAGTACAACCTGGGGTTTAGTATCTGAAGAATATATATGTACTTTTTTAGAACAGTTTTTCCAAAGATTGATGAACTAATCATCTTTTAATTTAAAATATATCTATTTTTCACCATCAGAAAGTTTGTCTGAAAAGTTTATTTGAAACTTTCTGAACACTTAAAGCAACATTGCTGTAGATATTATTAAAGTGTCCAGAGAGAACTAAACAAAATCAAATTCTTATAAATTACAAGTTTTTGCTTTTGAAAGAGCTTAGGTAAAGAGAAAACATGAAATATGTACTGCAAGGAAATCCCCAACATTTCATGCAAGAGCAGGCAAGATGTAAAAAGCCACCTAAATTCACATATTTATATACTGAATCATCAGAAAAAAGTATTCTTTAGTAAATCTGTACATCCAAATACACTTGGGAGCTACATCTAAGTTACATCATTTAATGTTTCATACACTTGTTACCCTTTTAAATCATCAAGTAAACATTCCAAACTGGGGGTGGGCTGATGAAAAGAAAGAAGGAAGGAAGGAAGGAAGGAAGGAAGGAAGGAAGGAAGGAAGGAAGGAAGGAAGGAAGGAAGGAAGGAAGGAAGGAAGGAAATCACTGTAGACATTCATTTTGTTTTTAAATCTAGACCTCCATGTGTTGAATGCTTCATCTTCATATAGTTTGCTTCCTGACATATAAAAATTGTACTGCAGAAAACTCCTTTATTATTTGTTACATTTCTTTGGATGGGTTTTAGATATACCGTAGTTCAATATACTTTTTGTAATGAACAAATGGAAACTTGGTCCTATTAAAATGAGAATGCATGCAAATATTTGACTTAAAAAAACAAAACAAATGCATGTATATTTTATAATAGGTAACATTGCAAATTATTAGGGTAGCACCCGTGTTTCTTCGCCCTATCAAATAACACTAAAGTTGAAGGGAAGAAATCTTTCCAGAAGAGTTATTTTTTGTACCAATAACTTACTAGAAACTTCTAAGAACCATCTTCCTTTAGAACTGAATGGAACAAATAGTTAAATACAGTTTGTCCTCTTCACTGAAGAGAGCTAGACTATTCATCTTTATGAGCTAATTTTGGGAAGATAAGCATGTACTGTGGAAATGCCTACTGAATATAATCCACACATTTGCTGAGAACATTTGGAAAAAGTCAGTAAGAACCTAGGATCAATAAAAACAGATGTTGCTTTAAATGATCCACAAGAGAGAGACCCACAGAGTGCCCAGTGCCACACACAAAAATTTTCCTGCGCTTTTGGTGTGCAAGTTATATACTCTTTTCCCACCCCACACACTAAAATGTTAACTGTTCCGGTTTTCAGTTCTTTTAGTCAATTTTCACATTCGTGTAGATTTTTCGAACAAAGGCACTTGTTCCCATATAGCCAATTGCTCCTGCAAAAAATAAATAAATTAAATTAAATAATGTTATATTATAATATGTGTGTGTGTGTGTGTGTGTGTGTGTGTGTGTGTGCATGAGACTTATTTTCGAGAGTAACTTTTAAAAGCAGGATTCACTATTGAGTAAATATAAATTGTACAACTGAACAACAACAAAAAAGATGCTGTGCAATCTTTTAAATTTCAACAAGATGATCTACCTAAAATTCAGCTAACCTATCAGTACCGTTTTGTTGTATTCTATATTCAGCTTGGACTGAGAATTCGGCATGATGCTACATACCAGATGCGTGCCTCTTTAAATGTGTGGATTAAACTGCATTAAAAATGTAATCAAATTGGAATTGGTAGCAACTCTGAACTCTCATATGTCAAATATATTCAAGATCCTATTTCTCTTAAGCTGTAGCTTTTCAACAGCTTTATTTCTTTATATATGAAATATTCTATTTTATACCAGGTAAGTGACAGAACTGGTTATACAGAGCAGTGCAGTTGCAAAAATACTTGCAGAAGCTACCAGTGATTAACAAAATCAAGCAACTGGGAGGGGGCATTTAGGCTACCAATTCCAATTCTCTGCTCAGTGCAGCAATCTAAATTAAAGCATCTCAACAGAAGACTCTCCAACTACTGAACACACCCAAGTGCTCCTATAAACTACATTTTTAAAGAAATCAGTGTAGCTCAGCGATATCACATGGATCATGTTTGGGATCCTCAGAACTGTCGTATCTATGTTTTGAAAATGATTGAAACATTCTGCTCATGCTCAAATATATGCTTATTTATTTCCACAATTGCAGGATTCAAGATATACTGCAGAGGTGGGATTTAGCTGGTTTGGACTGGTTTAGGCGTACCTGTTGTTAATTTTCTGCGCAGTTCAGCGAACTGGTTGATCGCACCACTGGCTAGCCCATCCCATCCCACCCAGCCCCTCCTTAGCTTGCCTTGGCTGCTTGCCTGGAGTCATGCCTGGGGCCCAGCTATTCTCTGGTTCTTCGCCCAGGCCCAGCCTTAGATCTGCAGCACCACCTCAGCCCTGCTCCCTGGGCATGCGCACAGGAGGTGGTGAGTGCCCAGGGCCTGGCATCCCTGGGGACTGCTTGCTGAGCGCTGCACTTCACCCAGGACACCAGCCCAGCCCTCATGTGCTTGGAGCCTCCTGTGCGCACGCCCAGGGGGCGGGGCTGAGGTAGCAGCGCAGATGTAAGGCTGGCTGTGGTTGGCACCGGCGCCTCTATGCCTCATTTACTGGCCTTTCCCTGGGACTGCCCCGCCACCACATGGGAAAACCATGTCCCTACCTGTGCGTGGAGGAAGGAAGAGGTAGCCAGCGTGCCATGGGAAGTAGGGGATTGTAAGCCGCAAGGGATCTGGAAGGCGAATGTGGAAGGCGAATGGCAGTGGCGTGTGACTTCTGGCATTACAGGGGGGTGGGGAAGGGGCAGAAGCAGAACTGCCTTTTCGGCATCAGGCATGGAGGCAACAGAAAGGAGGGTGGACAAAAAGGGAAGCTCCACAGGTGTTTTTTTTTTTTAATGGGCAGAGGCTTCCCATTTTGATTCCCTTCCCGTCATTGCCTCTGTGCCTGACTGCGTGACTCTCAACTCACCTCTCCAAGCTGTGCGTGTGTGTGTGTGTGTGTGTGTACACGCGTGCCTAAGGTCTCCCCCTTTGTAACCTGGTGCTGTGACAATGGAGAGGAAAACATTGGGATAGGCTGCTGCAGGCTGAGAAAAACAAACATTGCAAAAAAGAGAGCC